TTTTTATTAGAACTAAAGGTATACCAGAAAATAACTGGAGATTTGCTCATTTTTATTACCCCGTTACCGTAACATCTCTAATCTGAAAATCTGGAGCGTACCTGATAGGGTCTTCATTATCCGCACCAAAATTTATCCTTGCAGACACACTAAGAAAGAACTGGTTCTCAAATTGAGTAAGGTATATGGAACCATTAAATTTCCGGAGCTCAAGTGTAGAGATAAATGGCAGCCCAGTCGTAGCATTAGACAAGCATACACAAATGGTAGGATTTGTAGCCAGAAATATCAACTCTTCAACCTCTATTGTATAAGCATCCGAAATGACTATGGTAGCCCAGTGAGTTGCCCCAAGGGAGATGTCAAACTTTGGATAAACATTATTGTTGTCAAAGTTACCATACAAGAAGGTCGCTCTTACAAGGTATCTAGTCCTACTTGTGACTTCAAGTGTGTAACAATACTTTCTGCTATCTGCGGGGAAGTATCTCAGTGTCATGTATTGCTTCCTTGTCTCATTTGCTACAGAAATATTAGTTGCTTCTCCATAGATGATTTGACTATCCGGAGTCCACACAAGGCCAAGTTCATCGGTGAAATTATCTTTACCACCACAGTCCAAACTTACAAAACCTGCTTCATAAGATCAAGTTTTTCAGCATTAGTCAAGCAACCGGTAGACATGATTATCACCTCAGTTCAAGACTCTTGTCCACAACTTTATTCAAAACTTCACTATGGTATGGATGAACCTCAGGATCAAAATGCATTACATTGCATTACATCTCCCTTCCCAATATAGGTCAAAGAAATTGTAAAAACTGTAAATTGGTCGTGTCCAGCAACTACACAGAGAATAATGAAAAATGCGAAAGACACAATAATTGTGGTAAATAGGTTAGCACTTATAACCACACATAAATATTAGACTTTTTGTCAATATCTAAAGCATTTTATGGCACCAGTTCATGTATTTGGTAAAAGAGTCAAAGGAGTCGAGTGTGTTTGTATGTAATCCAATCAAAGAAATTATGATCCTACCAGCCTGATCGACTACAAGAAACATTTTTTTCCATTACTTGTTCTCATGCNATCAAAGAAATTATGATCCTACCAGCCTGATCGACTACAAGAAACATTTTTTTCCATTACTTGTTCTCATGCCGTTATTTGGGGTGACCATACAAAGCCTGGGCTGTCAAGTGTGAGGGCACTACATCTTCCCTTCGCCTACCAAAGACAACGCATTAGCAAGATCAATGCTAGGTAACGGACTAAATTTCCCCATTTGGATGACTGGATAACATCTTTTACTGAACTATAAGATCGCATGTTCATTGTTCTATGGGGGCCAACTGATGCAAAAATACCTGATAGGAATTCGTCACAGATAATTATGAATGATACCACTCCTTACTTTCAATTCTTCATTCTTGCCACACATGACTAACCCAACTGTAACAATTTTTTCTTATCTTTTCTGATCAGGCACAAACTCTTCTCATTTTGTGGCAAAATTAATATAATCATTTGGTTCTCAAAAATTCAATCATTCCCAATTATCCTGTACAGTTTTGCTGCTGGCAGTTGTCCATCTTAGCACTCATTATCTCCAAGCTCGCATAACAGTTGTAATGCTTTTTCATTGACAGACTTCAAGTCCATTATCTCAAATTTTACTGTGGTTTTTAACACAAAGAAGCAATGTTATATTTTGATGATATTTTGAAATTTCTACGGCTGAAACTTGTCACTAAGTTTGAGAGCTCTCAAGCAAGAGGTATGCCCATTGTTTTTGTGCTTTCATGGGCAGAATACACTGGAGGAAAATTTTCCTATTTCATGGAGACAATAAGATACTAAATGTAATACTATTTCAATTTTTGATTAGACTAGAAATTGTTGAAGAATTGGCCAGAAGGCCTTGTCCTTTTGTGGCCTGAAAATCAGATGGCACAAAAGTCTTTGAGATGGCATTAAAGCCATGCTCATGGGCTGCCAAAATGAAGGCTTGTCTGGTGGCTCAATCACGCATAGATCTAATTGCGCATCTGATAGCTTTGACTGTTCCTCTCTTGAATTCCTATATAAAGGGGGTTCAGGCAGAGGGTTAAAGGCATCAGAACTCATAAGCATTTCTGAGCGTAGAGGTGTGAGACATCTGAGAGTGAATGATATCCAAGTGATATCAGTGAGTTCAGAGTGCATTCTCTCTAGTAGGAGTGAGTACTTACGAGGCCAGATACAACTATTCTTGTATTGTTATTTTACTCCATAGTGAAAACATCCGATCGTTGTTTGTCGTGGACATAGGCAATAGCCTAATCACGTAAATCTTTGGTGTTATTTTTTGTGTGCCTTATTTTCTTATTTATTTTGTGTCACCTTATTGTTTACATTGGTACTCAAATCTAGGGCCTTGTTACAACAAATTGGTATCAAAGCATTGTTGGTGGGCCCGAATACTATCAGTGGGACCAAGCACTATTGGTGGGCCCAGATATTATTCATCGGCACTATTCACAATTGGTGGGCCCGAGCCTATTTGTGGGGCCCGATAATTGTTGGTGGCCCTGGGTACTATTGACATGGCACTATTCATGAGTACTATTCACTGACGCTGACAACTCAATTTTGCTAAAATTTTTTGATTTGAGATTTTGCGATGACTGCAAAGTTCGAAGTAGAAAAATTTGATGGAACAAATGATTTCAGCACGTAGCGCTTAAAGATGCGTGCCTTGTTGGTTCAACAAGGATTGCTGAATGCCATAGAGAAAAATGATGCAATAGGGATAGATGCCTTCCCAACAACAATGTTAGACGACGACAAGAAGGATATTTAGGCAAACGCTCACAGTGCTATCATATTGAGCCTTAGCAATGAGGTATTGCGGGAAGTTGCTGGCAAAACTATGGCCACGGGTTTGTGGCTAAAGTTGGAGAGTCTGTACATGACAGTCTCTCACGAACCGTTTGTATTTCTTAAAGCGTTTATTCATTCTCCAAAAGCAAGAAAGTACACCTGTCCAGGACCATCTTTATGAGTATAACAAAATCATGTTAGATCAGAAGAACATTGATTATACATTCGATGATGAAATTCAAGCCATGATTCTCATGTGTTCTTCACCACCCTTGCACGAGCACTTTGTCGATACTATGATGTATGGTAGAGAGACCCTTTCCATGGAAGATGTAAAGGCAACCTTGAACTCAAAAGAGTTAAAGAATTGGGTGTTTGAAAATAGAAACGGAAGCTTAGGCGAAGATTTAGTTGCAAGAGGAATATCAACGGAGAATGGCTCAAATAGCAGAGGCTGATCTAAATCCTGGGGAGGATTTAAAAAAGTTAAATGTTTTCCTTATCTCGAGGAAGGGCGTATTAGGAAAGATTGTCTGAAGCGTAAACGCAAAGCAAAGATTGAAGACTTAAATTCTAGTAACGTTGCCAATGTTGCAGAAAAAGATTCTGCTAATGCTGATGTACTCACGTGTTCAACCAACAGCTCAGGTGAGGAGTGGATTCTTGATTCGGGTTGTTACTTGTTCCTATCATATGTGTCCTAATTAGGACTGGTTTGCCACCTATCAATCAATTGATGGAAGTAATGTCTTAATGAAAAATAATGTAGCCTGTAAGGTTGTTGGGATAGGGACAACACGGATCAAGATGTTTGATGGTATTGTGAGGACTCTTATAAATGTCAAGCATGTTCCAGATCTAAGGAAAAATTTTATTTCCTTGGGTATGTTTGACTCCAATGGCTGTACGTAAAAAGTTGGAGGTGGAGTCATGAGGATTTGTAAATGTGCTCTTGTTGCGATGAAAGGGCAAAACCAGAATGGTCTGCATTTGCTGCAGAGTAGCACAGTGGCAGGTGCAACTGCTGCAGCTTCATCTTCAGATTCAAGCTCAGACACTACCAAGTTATGGCATATGTGATTAGGGGATATAAGTGAGATAGGACTAGATGTGCTAAGCAAATAAGGTCTGCTGTGTGGCCAGAAGACTGGAAGGATGAACTTTTATGAGCATTAAAGTTCAATACGGCTATACATCAGACTAAGGGTACTTTGGATTATATCTATTTTGACCTTTGGGACCCTCTCGTGTTCCTTCTCTTGGTGGTGGAAGGTATATATTGACCTATATTGATGACTATTCTAGGAAGGTCTGGATATTTATATTGAAGTACAACAATGATGTCTTTGGAAAGTTCAAATAATGGAAGACTATGATCGAGAAGCTGACAGGAAATAGATCAAGCACTTGCAAACTGACAATGGCATGGAATTCTGTCGAGGTGCTTTCAATGAGTTCTGCAAGAAAAAAGGGATCGTGAGACATCACACGGTGAGAAAAACACCACAACAGAATGGGATTGCAGAACGAATGAACAGAACTCCCTTGGAGAAGACACGATGCATGCTCTCAAATGTTGGTCTATCCAAGAAGTTATAGCTTGTTATCTTGTTAATAGGTCTCCATCGACAACTATCGAGAATAAGACTCCTGAAGAGGTTTGGTCCGAGTCTCCTGCAAGTCACACTGATTTAAGAGTATTCGGTTGTCCTGTTTATGCTTTATGTGAATGATGGTAAACTTGAGTCGAGGGCAAGGAAGTGCATATTTCTAGGGTATGTAGATGGGGTGAAAGGTTATAGATTGTGGTGTGCAGACACTAAACCAACCAAATGTATTGTTAGGGATGTGACTTTTAATGAGTCTGCTATGCTTGAACCCAAGAAGGAGAAGTTTCTTGATACTGAAAAAGACCACAGTGTCAGCAAGCAGGTGAAGCTTGAAGTGGAAGCTCCAAAGAACTTGCAAGAAAATTTGCAGGATGATGTCCCAGTCTGGCAAGATGCAGAAGAGGAACAAGACTCTGATGCGGCTCCGCAACAACAAGGATACATGCTTCCTAGGGGCAGAGAAATGAGGCAGATTAAGCCACCCCAAAGATATGGGTACAAGGATCATGTTGCCTATGCACTTAGGGTGACAAAAAATGTTGAGGCTCACGAGCCGGTCACATATCATGAAGCCATCAGTAGTGAAAATTTTGCAGACATGATGATGTAGGTAGTTCCAACAAGTAAGTTCGAACATTGCCTGGACTTGATCAAATCGTACCAATTTGAGCGCCTTGTGAGGCACATTGTAGATGACGACCGGAAAAGAGTTTTCAGATGACTTAAGCGGCTTTTGTCTACTGTGGAGAATTGTTGAAAAAGTGGCCAGAAGACCTTATCCTTTTGTGGCCTGAAAATCAGATGGCACAAAAGTCTTTGAAATGGCATTAAAGCCATGCACATGAGCTGCTAAAATGAAGGCTTGTCTGGTGGCTCAATCACGCGCAGATCTGATTGCGCATCTGATGGCTTGGATGGTTCCTCTCCTAAATTCCAATAAAACAAGGGTTCAAGCAGAGGGTTAAAGGCATCGGAACTCAAAAGCATTTGAGCATAGAGAGTTGTGAGACGTCTGAGAGTAAGTGATACCAGTGAGGTCAGAGTGCATTCTCTCTAGTAGGAGTGACTACTTGCAAGACAAGATACATTTATTCTTCTACTGTTGTTTTACTCCACAGTGAACATCCGATCATTGCTTATCGTGGATGTAGACAATAGCCGAACCACATACATTTCTCGTGTTCTTTTGTGTGTACCTTATTTTCTTTTTTATTTGGTGTAACCTTATTGTCTACCTTGGTACTCAAATCTAGGGCCCTGTCACAACAGAAATGCTGTTAAACCCATATTAAATATCTTCATAATGAGCCAGCATCATTCTTGATTAAACTTATTGGATTCCCCTAATGTGGAATTCGCATTTTTAGCAAGATCACAACTAATTTTTGCACAAAATCACATGCAGGACTCCAGAACCTCAATAGAACAATGCATGAGTGACAAGCTGCAACATGGGCAGGTAAGAATATAAAGGAAAGAGCCACCTTCTGGGAAAAATTCCTCCTTGCTAGTTAAATACTTTTTGTGTAGTTATAAAGTTAAATATTGAGTTATGAGCACATGTTTTTTATTGAATTTTTTTTTTTTTTGA